TATTCTAGCATGTATTGTAAAACCATATATATGTGGTATTTGGGAAATGGAAGGAAATGAGGCATTTGTTAAATTAAAAAAAAATCAATATGGTATCAGTAGCCTTGAGGTATGGAGGGTTTTGTTCCAGTAGCTAATTATTTGTATGGTTTTCTTATATTCTCTTCCTCGTGCCATGGCTGATCAGGAAACTTCATCGGCTTGTCTTCAGAAGGCGTTCACCAACAAAAGACTTAGTGTAGTCTTGGATGATCGTAACTTCTTGCTATGGAAGCAGCAAGTGCTTCTAGCTATGAGGAGCCATAGACTCGAGAAGTTTCTTATCGGTGCGGTTACTCCTCCGCCGGCGAATGTGGCTTTAGAAGATGGGACGGTTGTTGAGAATGAAGCTTATGAAGTGTTTGTTGCCCAGGACAATGTGCTTGCCTCTTGTCTGTTATCCACGATGTCACCCTCAGTTCTACCACACATGGTTGGTGCAGACATCGCCGTGCAAGTTTGGTCCACCGTTACCAAGTTCTTTGCAAGCAGTTCTAAGACAACGCTAATGAACTTGCATTATCGGTTTAAAGCTATAAAAAAGGGGGAGCTGAGTATGTGTAACTTCATCTCTCAGGTTAAAGAGTTGTGTGATGCTCTTGCAGCTTGTGGAAGTCCGGTGTCCAAGTATGAACAAGTGGCGATGATCTTGAATGGATTGTCGTTTGAATATCGTCCGTTTGTTGTTGTCATCACTGCCAGCAGGGAGCCGTTCACTTTAGATGGAGTAGTTTCAATTCTGATTGATGCAGAGGTTCAACAGCGTGGTTTTGAGGAAGCTAATAGTTTCTCTATTAGTGTTAATATGACAAAACTGACTGTGAATGATTATTCAGTGTCGGGGTTGGTCAAAGCACCTTGGCATAATCTGGGTTCCTCTGGTTCGTATAAGGGAGATCGTGGTCGTACTAAACCCCGGGTTCAATGCCAATTGTGTGGAAAGGTTGGCCACTTAGTGGACCGATACTGGTATAGGTTTAACCAAAGCTTTCGTGGGATTTCTGCTACTCACAAGGCCATGGCACCGAATAATCCTCCGTCTGCTAACGTATGCATGGTTGCTTCTACTCATCGATGTGGTTGTGTTCACCAAGGATCTTGGGATGGTACCGTTTCTGCTTTGATGGCTGAATGTGGACAATAATCTAGCCTTGGAGGTTCGACGAGCTCTCGCCCATCCGGGAAATGGTTTATAGATTTCGGGGCTTCTCACCATGTGACCTCGGATTTGGCTAATGTTGTTGCGGCTGAAGAGTATACTGGCACGGGTAAGCTCCTCGTGGGTAATGGTAATAGTTTATCAATATCTAAGGTCGGTCAATCTAGCTTGGTTATTTCTACTCGTTCTTTATGATTAAATAACTTGCTCCTTGTTCCTAGTATATCCAAAAACTTGGTTTTCGCCTCCAAACTTGCTCGTGATAATAAGGTGTTTCTTGAATTTCGTGCTCATAGATGTGTGATTCGTGACGAGGACACGAAGGCGGTGTTACTTGATGGCTGAGAGAATGATGGACTTTATGAGTTTAATTTTACTTTGTTTCATAATAATGTGCCTGCTCAGTGTAATGTTGTTCATGGCGTAGTTGATTTTGGTTTATGGCATAGACGATTAGGCCACCCTTCCCGTGATACATTACAACAAGTTTGTAAAGATTGTAATATTGGTCTATCGTTAGTTAATGATGAAATTTGCATTGCTTGCCAAGTTGGGAAATCTCACTCTCTACCATTTTATGCATCTCAAACAGTATATAGTGAACAATTTCAATTGGTTTATGTCGATCTATGAGGACCACCTCATGTGGTCTTAAATGGATATCGGTATTATATATCCTTTGTCTATGCTTATTCGAGGTTTATGTCGATATATTTATTGAAGGAGAAATCTCAAGCGTTGTATGTGTTTCGTTTATTTCAACACATAGTTCGTGTTCAATTTGGCCGAGAGATTAAAATAGTTCAAAGTGATTGGGTGGTGAGTTTCGTTTGTATACCAAGGCTCTTCATAAGGATGGGGTACGACATCGGTTCATGTTTCCTCACACGTCTCAACAGAATGGTGTTGTTGAGCAAAAACACCGACATATCGTTGATATGGCGCTAACGTTGCTTGCTTAATCTTCATTACCCTTGAAATATTGGTTTTATACCGTAACTACTGCGGTGTATCTCATTAATAGGCTACCTACGAAGGTGCCTCTCGGGACAACACTGTTTAATAAGTTGTTTGGTCGTCGCCCCAAGTATGAACATTTACATGTTTTTAGTTGTAGATGTTTTTCGTGCCTTCGTTCGTTTCAATCTCACAAATTTGAGTATCGATCACAAGCCTGTACTTTTCTTGGCTATAGTGTTCAACATGAGGGTTATCTTTGTCTTGCACCTGGTGGTCGAATATATATTTCTCGGCATGTGTAGTTTGATGAGAGTGTTTTCCCATTTACAGGTCAAGCTACTGTCATTCATCCTTCTCCTACAAATGATTTCCAACTGTCTGTCACTATTAATGTAGTACATGGCATCAACAAGGTGCTAAGTAGCCAAGCAGTCCCACCGTGCTCAACGTTACACCATTGTGAAAGTGAGTCGTCTATTTCTCGTACCAGTAACTCATATCATAGAGTGAATGAACCGATGAATTCTGCTAAAGTTGCGTCTGGTGATAATATGGATGGATCCGTGAGATACACAGTCTCTCTTAGACGAACTGACGGTTCTGGTGATTTGCGTGTTCCTGAGCACTCCACTATTGCTGCAAATTTAACTCTTCAAATGGCTTCCCATTATAATAATTCGAACATGGCTATTTCAACTATTCTTCCTGGTATTTCTTCTCCAACTGTTCTTCCTGGTATTTCTTCTCGTCCCTCTTCTTCAAATATTCATTTTATGTTTACGAAAAGCAAGGATGGGATCTTTAAACCGAAAGTCTTCTCGGTTCAAGCTGTAATTGATGATGAAGAACCAGTTTCTATTGAACAAGCTTTATTGTCTCCTATATGGAAAGATGTCATGGCTGAATATAATGCTCTAATTGATAAGGGTACATGGCGGTTGGTGTCACTACCTTCTGGTCGAACGGAAATCGGATGTAAGTTGTTGTTCCAGATCAAGAAAAATATTGATGGGTTTGTTACAAGGTATAAGGCTCGGTTAGTAGCAAAAGGTTTTGCTCAAATTCTGGGACAAGACTAATGATACGTTCAGCCCAATTATCAAAACTTCCAAAGTAAAGGTTATTTTATCCTTAGCTATCATGAATGGGTGGAAATTGCGACATGTTGACGTGAATAATGCGTTTCTTAATGGGGACTTACGTGAGGAGGTGTTCATGGTGCAACCTCCCGGGTTTGAACAGCTTGCTGCTGATGGCACACGACTTGTTTGCAAACTTGAAAAGACTTTGTATGGACTTAAACAAGCACCACGAAGTTGGTATGTATGTGTTTTTCTTGGTCGAATTGGGTTTCATGGGACACAAGCTAATGCCTCATTGTTCATTCATTGCTTAGGGAAGTCTTTTACCTATGTTCTCGTTTATGTCGATGATATCATAGTTACGAGGCAAGATGAGACTGAAGTTGAAAGTGATATATCGCAATTGAGTCAAGAATTCTCTTTAAAAGATTTGGGGTACTTAAACTACTTTTTGGGGCTTGAAGTTCAGCGGATGACTTATTCGCTTATTTTACGACAAAATAAATTTATTCTTGAATTATTAGAATGTACTGGCATGCGTGATGCTCATCCAGTTCCAACACCGATGGTCGTATCTCCGAAGCTAAGTAAAGATGAAGGGAGCTCGTTACAAGATGTTCAATTATATAGGAGCGTTGTTGAAGCCCTTCTATATTTAAATCACACGCGACCCGACGTTGCGTATAGTGTCAACCGTGTAGCTAAATACATGCATGCACCTCGTACTCAAAATTTGGGTGGCTGTGAAACGCATTTTGCGTTATTTGTGTGGGACACTTGATTATGGTCTAGTGTTTCAAAAGACAGGATTGGGTCTACACTTGGAAGCTTTTGCGGATGTCGATTGGGCAAGCAATGTTGATGATCGTCGTTCGATATTCGGTTTTTGTGTTTTTCTTGGAGGTAATCTCGTGTCTTGGGGTTCCAAGCATCAATGGTCAGTCTCTCGGTCGACTATTGAGGCTGTGTATCGTGCATTAGCGGATGTTGTGGCCGATGTTGTTTGGATTCAAGCCTTGTTGACAGATATGGGAATTTGTCCTCAAGCACTCCCGTCGTTTAGAGTGATAATACGAGTGCGATAGCGATGAGTGTCAATCCTGTTTTGCATTCTCGATCGAAACATGTTGAATTAGACATCCATTTCATTCGGGAAAAGGTTGTTGCTGATAAAGTTCGGGTCAATTATATTCCTGCTCAACATCAAAAAGCTGATGGATTCACTAAGTCTTTGTGTCGGGCTTATTTTTCTTTGTTTCGCTGTAATCTCAAAGTCTATTGTGAAGTTCTGGTGTCTATAGACAGTAGGGAGAATGTTAACTATTACGTGAATAGCAATGAATAGCAAATAGGTTGTTATTTGGTTGTTAGGGAGAATGTGCCAAGAAGGCAAGTCTGGTATAACTGCTGCTAGCATAGGAATATTCTAGCAGGTATTGTAAAACCATATATATGTGGCATTTGGGAAATGAAGAAAATGAGGCATTTGTTAAATTAAAAAATTCAATAATTAGATATTTTTTGGAAAGACGATAATACCCCATGACAACAGTCTTTGGTCTATGAGGATTCTGGTGTTCTTTTTTGTACTTATGTAACCTATGTTCGTATTTTGCCATATAATTTTACTGAAACCATCGGTTCATATCTCTTGCGAAAAAGACATGATTTCGATTCCCTTTTTTACCTTTGAAGTGTGTGTGTGTATATATATATATATATATATGTGTGTGTGTGTTGTGTGTGTAAGAAGTCAAAGAAAACCCAAGCATTCTAGAGATATGGGAGTCGTAAAGGAAGGGTGTTATCTTCTCTTTCCCTTTTTCACACTTGAAGTGATTCTTTTCCTCTCTCACCCATTGCTTCCTCTCGCAGTCCATTCCCAGTGCTCCAGAAACCCCGTTATCTTCAACTTCGGCGACTCTAACTCCGACACAGGTGGCTATGTAGATGGCTTGGGACTCGACTTTGTGCCTCCCAACGGCCGTACCTATTTCCATAAGCCAGCCGGTCGTTTATCCGATGGACGATTGATGATTGATTTCCTCTGTAAGTTCATAGTTATATAGTTCATGTTTGCCATTTTTTTGTCAAAACCCAAGACTAGCAAGATGATGATGATTCCTTGGAGATGTATGGGAACTTGTGCAGAATATGCATGAACCATATACAAATCTCATAATTTTCTGTTTTTTTGGCACATAGACGTAAATGTAAGTCTATAGCACTTCATACATGGGTCATGTGTCAGACAAATACCTTTTGTCTCCATACTTATCTGCTTTCATTGCATTTGGCCATCTTTCTGCCTCGACCATTACCGGTAGGAAGGGTACGGTGACATTTCTCGTATAGGGACTTTTTGGATAAATAATGTATGCAAGAAAAAAATCATTTAGGAGAAATAATTTACACTCCAAGATGATAATTATAGTGAAGAATAAACTCATTATTCTAACAAGACAAATTTCAATAAAAATTATCATTTCAAAAATTTTCATTAGACTTGATATTTGTTGGAATAAGGATTTCATTTAAACAATAATTTTTATTGAAACCTGTTTTTGCTAGAATGATGAATTTATTCTCCACTATGACAATCATCTTAGATTGTGCTCTATTTTTCCCGTGACAACTATATATCCCTATTTTTTAATTCCAAATAGATTATTTAACTAAAAAAACCCCACATCTAGCCTATATCATTGAGGATGACAGACGAGTATAATTTCGTGGATTTCGTACTACATTTATTTATTTTTTTGGAGGAATCTACACCCGTTCTTTGTTCTTTGGGGGTGAGAATGGATATAAGTTTAATGAGCAATGGTTGGGTGTAGAAGTAAAAAAGTCATACTCGTGGATAGTAGATAGATTTAAAACCTTACTCACCTCACATCCTCTCATCCCATATCCGATTGTATGCTAACTACCCATTATATAATTTTTAGATCATTATTAATTTAGGTATAATTTTAGGCATTATTCTATAAGGTGGCGTTTGGTTGGCATGAATCTCTTGGAATTAGGGAGAATTGGAATCCAATTCCACCACTTTCTCATGTTTGGTTCAAGTTTTCCAAGGGAATTGGAATCCCTCATGGCTTCAACTTTCCATCAAATAAGGGAAAGTGAATTTCATCCAAGAATGGATGGAATTCAATTCCCTTGTTGGAGGGAATTAAAATTTGACCATACTATCCTCATCAATCTTTTGGTAATTTATTCATATATTGAATAAAAATATTTTTTTATTATTTCGGGTCGGGTCCGGTTTCTAATTCATATATTCGGGTCGGGTCGGGTTAGTTTTTTTAAGTGTGATATTCGGGTCGAGTTTGGGTTTAGGGTGAAAAATACCCGACCCAAAAATATATATAATTTTACCTTATATATTTAGGAATAATTACAATAATACCCTCTATATATAATTTTTTTCAATTAAGTCACTGTTTTTATTGAATAAAAATATTTTTTTTTATTATTTCGGGTCGGGTTGGGTTTCTAATTCATATATTAGGGTCGCGTCAGGTGAAACTTTATTTTGGTCGAGTCGGGTCAGTTTTTTTTAAGTGTGATATTCGGGTTGGGTCGGGTTTTGGTTTAGGGTGAAAAATACCCGACCCGACCCAAAAAATATATAATTTTACCTTATATATTTAGGAATAATTATAATAACACCTCTCTATATATATTTTTTTCCAATTAAGTCACTATTTTTATTGAATAAAAATATTTTTTTATTATTTTGGGTCGGGTCGGGGTTTTAATTCATATATTAGCGGGTGAAACATTATTTTGGTCGGGTCGGGTCTCGGATGGAGGTTCCCTTGTACTCTGGTCGGATCGGGTGGACCAAAAACCCAACCCCAACCTGACCCATGGCCATCCCTAATTGGGATGATTTTAACTTATAATGTTTATTAGCATGATTTTTTATAATTTATTGAAATGAATAATCAATCAATAAAATTAAAATTTAATTTTTTAAAAATTTTTATAATATATTGCTACATGTAATTTATAAAACAAACTAAAATTAAGCAAAAAAAAAACAAGAAGGGCAATCCTATCATTTTATATTACTGAAATTAAATTCATCTGACATGTCTGCGAACCAAACAGAATATGGAATTGGATTCCAATTCCTGACAGATTCCAATTCCTTCACATATTCCAATTCCTTCATAGATTCCAATTCCCTCAGAAACATTCCAGCGAACCAAACGCCACCTAAGTCTTAAGACTTTATAGGACATTACTTGTAATTTAACTAAATATTAGGGTATAAATATTTTTACGATGTTGTTTGTCATTGTTGTGTAGACTTTATTTATGTACTTTATTATAGTATTTTATGTATTAAAACATTGGTTTATTTTAAAATCTATGTTAATCTTTAACCCAGTTAATCATCGGTTTATTTTACATGCTTTTTAATGGACGTGTTTGTTTTATGTTTTGTTGTTTATGTAATCTGTGAGGTTGTTGTTAGGTGGGTATAGACGAGTACGAGATGGGTGATGGGTATCCAATTGGATAGTGGGTGTGGGGATAAATTTGAAAATATAACTTGCATGAGCAGATAAATTTGAGAATATAACTGCGTGAGCGGATATGGTTTTAAAAATTTTACTCGTCGTAGATGTTGAGTAGGTAGTAGATACAAAAATATTAGATAAATATAAGGATAGAGAAAGGATATTCGCACCCGACTCGACCCACCCATTTACCATTAGTATATACCATATATTGTTAAAGTATGGACCCTTCCTTTTAAATGGATATCTTCTCCTACAGTTTTTTCCTATAGACTTTGGGCTGATTAACCCCCATTTTGATTCATGTGGATGGACTTGTTATCTCCCATACAACACTATAAGACATAATACGAATAATTATATTTTGAATTAATTGTGATAAATTAATTGTATCACGCGACTTTAAATTATAATATTGTTAAGTTAGTTTTTAAAATTTTGAATGTTTTAATTTTATTCTTAAATTATTATTTTTATTTTAAATTAGTCATTGAAATTTTGAATATTACAATTTCATCCTTAAACCATGATCCTCATTTTAAATTAGTCCAAAAACACTTGGATTTTTTGATTTCATTCCAAACTATCGGTATCTTCTAATCACATCATTTTCGAATAAAACCATTACGTCAAATTTTATTATTATATGTTTGAGGATATTGAAATTTAGGTTAAACTATGGTTGAAATTAATTACACATTTGGATGAATTTGGAGATTAAATTGAAAGATTCAAAATTTTGGGGATCAATTTAAAATGAAGGTCATAGTTTTCGGATGATTTGGAATGTTCAAAAGTGTGAGGACTAAATTAGAATCAGATTGATAGTTTAGGGATGAAATTACAACATTCACACGTCTAAAGGCCAATTTAAAATGAAGATCATAGTTTAAGGATATATAACATAATTAAATCTTATTTTATATATTATAAGCTTTTTTGAATAGATATATTATGAGCTCACAAATTGAAAGAAAGGGTTGGCAATAATTCCACCGAAAATGGATAAATTTGGAAACGAAGGCCAGAAATTTCATGTTGTTTGTTGAATGGTTGGCAGGTGAAAGCTTGAACACTGGTTATCTGACTCCATATCTGAATTCTTTGGGGCCAAATTTCACAAACGGAGCCAACTTTGCAGTCATTGGGTCCTCCACTCTGCCTAGATATGTCCCTTTCAGTTTGTACGTCCAAGTTTCTCAGTTTCTCCGATTCAGATCTCGCTCCCCGGCACTCATGCCCAACGGTATCTTCCAAGCCAAAATAGCTACTTATTTACATCTATGAATATTTTGCTATTGATGTTCAAGTTTTCTGTTCCCGGAGTTAGGCTACAAAGAATTGGTTGGCGATGGTGAGTTTGAAAATGCACTTTATACAATTTATATTGGACAGAATGACTTAGCTGCATCATTTGATTCCCTCACCTATTCACAAGTCATTGATAAAATCCCTTCTTTCATAACCGTAATCAAATATGCTATTTGGGTGAGTCTTTCACTATTCAGTTCCTCTACTTTGGCTAACCTGATGAATCAGATTAGTTTTTAGTATTTCTTTTCTCCAATCTTGATTGCAGAGTATATATGGGAGAGGAGGGAAGAATTTCTGGGTACACAACACCGGACCACTCGGATGTTTGCCTCAAAAACTCGCTTCCTTTCCTCGAAGTGCCAGTGAACTCGATGAGCACGGCTGCTTTATGCCTCTCAACAATGCCGCTAAAGCATTTAATGCACAGCTTCATACTTTATGTGAACAACTGAATTCTCAACTGATTAATGCCACCATTGTCTATGTCGATATTTATTCCATCAAGTATGACCTGATCGCCAATGCCTCGAATTACGGAATGGTCTCGGTTCTTACCACTTGTTTCGTTAACGTTTGTGACAAATTTGAAACTCTTTAGCCTGACAGGTTTTGCGAGTCCATTAATGGCATGTTGTGGCTATGGGGGTCCTCCGTACAACTACAACGCCAATATCACTTGCGGTCGAACCGGATACTTGGCATGTGTGGCTATGGGGGTCCTCCGTACAACTACAACGCCAATATCACTTGCGGTCGAACCGGATACTCCGTCTGCCATGAAGGATCAAAGCTTGTAAGCTCGGATGGTGTTCACTACACCGAAGCCGCCAATGCCGTCTTCGCTTCCAAGATTCTTTCTTCCAATTACTCCACTCCTCGAGTTAACTTCAACTTCTTCTGTAATAAAATGTGAATTCTGCTTAAGTCTTATACTTAGCTAATTAATTGAAGTGTCTGCTCTATTTATAGTAAGACCAGCTTCTTCCAACATCCAAAACATATACAGATGTGGGGATTTTGTGAGCTTGTCCTTCGTTCTTTTCCTTCTTCACATTTGAATTTTCTCTATTCTTCATCGTAGTGGTTATAAGCTTACCTTAAAATCTGAATTTTTTTATGTTGATTTTCTATTTTATTAATAGTAAGACCTCATTTGATTCCGATGGCCGCCCAACCCACTATTACTACAAAAAAGGCCCTGCCCTTTTCCTTTACTACTAGGAGAGCAAGCAACCTTAGTGTTAGGCCTTGAGTCGAATTCATCGTGCCATGTACAAACCCTAAAATTTTATTTACATTCAATCTTATAAAACTTTGCATTATTAATAAATATATATAGTCACCTTCAAAAATATTTTTGAATTTATCATTACTTTATAAACATCATCGGCTCGGCAGGGTCGGATGTGTGACCCAATATGTCAAGGATGTTGATGGGTGGTTGGTAGAGCCGTGGAGGTGACCCCTTTTGTAGAGGCTTGAGTCCCATAATTCAATGAGTTGTCCATATCTTTAAAATTGTGACCTTTACCAAATGTAAAGGTTTAATTCAACATCCATCCCTCAAATACCTTGAAAACTTTACGATTAAAGCAACTGGACACTTTAAGGTTAATACGCACTTAATCTAAACCGTGATATAATTGTGGAGGGTAAAATTAATGTATATATATCCTTTTGAAAAACTAACTTCATCATGACGGTTCAATGGCACATCGGTTGTCAAATTAAATCTCAGTTAAATTATAGGCTCGTTTAAATAGACATTTTTTAATAGATATTTAATTCGAAAATTAACTTTTAAGTTTTCAAACAACTCCAACTCTTATATAAAAAAGAGACAGGTAAACGTTCCACATAGTCTTCCATTTTCGCAAGGTCTTGGTTCCCTTAAATGGTAAAATTACAAGTTTAATCCATTTAAACTTTACAATTTTAAGATAAGATAATAGTAATATTGTATTTTGACCTCCAAGTAATAAAATTTTAATTTAATCGTTTTAAAAATCATAAAATTACATGTTAAAGTAACAATAAAATTATATTTTAACCATAAAAAAGGTTTATAATATAACTTTCTTCTGAAATATTCATCAGCATTCCATCACCAAAAAGGTAATGCAAAGTCAATATGATGAGCAACTTTGTCTTGGTTGCAGTGCTAATTCTTTCAGCATGTAGCAGAGTAATGGTTTAATATGAAACGAGGAATATGCATGGAAATATCTGTTCCCAAACGTACCGATACCAACAAAAGCAAAACACCTGAGTGAGTATAGTTGTTATCTAAGCTGAAGCAACAAACAAAACCCTTGGTTAAGTAATTCCATCAGATCTGAGACCTTTTCTCTCTAAATTATCATTGATTTCTTTTCAAAACAGAAGCGTTCATCTAGCTTAACCAGGAGAATCGAGATCGAAATAATATTAATAACTAAGATCAACAATATAATACAAGATCAAACTCCATGCTTTTTTTTACTAGGAAAATTTAACTGTAGCTGACGAAAGGGTGAGATTCAGATCCAAACCATCGTCTTCTTCCTGTTTCTTCTTGTATGGAGTTGGAAAGACGATGAGTGGCCTTGGAAACTCAATCTCTGCGGTGAAATCTTCCCATTCAAATCTCGGAACCCAACTCGGCCGCTCATCGTCGCCCAATTTACTTGTCTTGTTTTTCTTCATCTGCTTACTCATCTCCTCCTCCTCGTCATCTCTTTGTTTCAGCTCGTTTTTTCGCTTATTACGCGCCTCCCGGAAGTTCCTTAACAGAGCAAAAAACTGCTCCATTTTCTCATCTTCTTGCTCCTCACGATCATCTTCACCATTCGAAATATTATTTCTCTCCTCCATCTCCATCTCCATCTCAAAAGGGGGAAAAATCAACGGAAAAAAACTTGCACGAGATTTTTCCCGATGTTTCTTTGCTGCTGACGAGTTGGTTCGAATTTGTATATTTATACAAAGGGGGAACAAGAAAATTAAGCGGTCAGGGTCAGCTCGAGAAAGACCAACCTGCCCCGACGGTGCCAAACTCGTCTTGCGCCATCTAGGCCGGAGGGGTACAAAAGTAAAACGCGAATACGACGTGTGAAATCATGAGTTGCGTCACTAAACGACGTGGATGGGGATCCCGATTGCATGTCCACGTTGGGGGTCGAAACGATGATGACGTATTCCTGATTGCGCAATACGAAACGAATGAAACCTTAGAAACAAACGAAAGGCTGGCGTGCGTTTTCAACTTGGCTACCCAATATTCACACATTAGGCAACAGCTGATACGTCATCCTGCAATCATTTTCCATTATTTACAAACGCTGTACTCTGTTTTGGCCTTTCTCTGCGCTGCACACAATAATATTCTCAGTTTTAATATTCATCACTTAAGACTAGGGATGGGTATGAGATCCGAACCCGATAAGTTTCGATCTGATCATGTCATAATTTTAAAAAAAAAATTGGATTTGGGTTGGGTCGGGTCGGGTCGAGTTTGGGTTTAGGTTGAAAAATACCCGATCCGACCCAAAAAAATATATAATTTTATCTTATATATTTAGGAATAATTAAAATAATATCCCTCTATATATTATTGTTTTCAATTAAGTCATTATTTTTATTGAAGAAAAATAATATTTTTTTATTATTTCGGGTCGGGTTTTTAAGTTATATATCGGGTCGAGTTCAGGTCGGGTGGAATTTTGTTTTGATCGGGTCGGGTCGGGTGGACCAAAAACCCGACTCATGCCCATCCCTACTTAAGAGTTAAGACCATGACATCCAACTATGTGCATTTGCCTAGAGACCCAAGGGATGGATAAGGGGCGAGTCGCCCTTTTAACCTAAAGACATCTTTAACATTAAATTTTGTGTCCATCCTTGATTACTCAACAAAAAAAAACTATTTGATTAAACTGTCTAATTTTGAAATTAATACAGATTTTAAAAAATATTTGTTTATTTTTAAAAGTTAAAGAGATTTGATATTAGAGATTTGAGGTTGTTAAAGACAAGTCTTAGGACATGATTTCAATGAGACTTTTAGTCCAATGGTTAAGTTTGCTACATTTCATGTTGTCTTGTCTCTTGTTGTGGCTCGGCAGTGGCAACTGCGTCAGATTGACATTAATAATGCGTTTTTAAATGGAGAGTTGTTTGAGGAAGTGTATATGCAACAACCTCCAGAGTTCGAACAATATGATGAGGATGACAATCAACTTGTGTGTAAACTGCACAAGGCATTATATGGACTGCGTCAGACATCTCGTAATTGGAATGCTCGGTTAAAACAATGTCTACTTCAGCTAAAGTTTGATGAATTTAAGGTTGACACATCATTGTTTATTCGTAATAATTTGGGTGTTTTTACGTATATTTAGTGTATGTTGATGACATTGTCATCACTGGAGCTTCAGATGTTGAGATTGATAATATAGTTCAACGCTTGAGTGTTGCTTTCTCATTGAAGGACCTTGGAGAACTTGGCTACTTTCTTGGTATTGAAGTTAAGAAGTGTGGTGAGTCTCTTTTTCTAAGTCAACGCAAGTTTATACTTGAGTTGTTGATGAAAGCTAATATGGATACAACTAATTTTGTGGTAACGCCTATGACACTAACTAAGCTATCACAAGATGCTGGTGATATGCTCTGTGATGCTAAGGAATATCACAGTATTGTTGGTGCACCGTTGTATGCTTGCCACTCTCGCCCAGATATCACCTTCAGTATAAATAAAGTTGCCCAGTACATGCATGCCCCATGTCAGGATCATCTTCTTGTTGTAAAACAGATTCTTCGCTATCTTGTTAGTACACTTGATTATGGATTGATGCTGTCTCCCTATGGTGTGGATGTGAAGGTGACAACATTTGTTGATGCATATTGGGGTGGTAGTCCTGATGATAAAAGATCAATATCATGATATTGTGTTTTTGTAGGCAACGACCTTGTGTCTTGGACCTCTAAGAAACAAAAGTTTGTTTCAAGATCTACCATGGAGGTAAAGTATCGTAGTGTGGCGGATGCAACAGCTGAGGCAACTTGGGTCAGCGTACTTCTTTTAGAAATGGGACTTACACAGCAGGGTGTTCTGGTTGTCTGGTGCGATAATAGTGGTGTTGTTGCCATGAGTAGCAATCCAGTGTACCATGCAAAGAAAGCACATTGATCTAGATGTGCATTTTGTGAGGGAAAAAGTTGATGCTAAACAGGTGCTTGTCAATTATGTTCCAGCTAGTCATCAGGTTGCAGATGAGTTTACTAAACCATTGTCTAAATCTTCGTTTGAGCAGTTTCGATCAAAAGTGCAAGTTTTCTCATTCAGTCAAGGAGAAGGAAAAGAGTAGGGAGAATATTAGAGAATAAGAGCTGGTGTAGATGAAGGTTGTATGTTGCGTGTAGCTGAAGTTGGTGTTGAAAGCTTGTGAAGTTTGTTAGAGTTTTTATCAAAGCTGTTAAGCTTGTCAGCTAGGAGTCGGTTATGCCAACTAAGGCTAGTAGTTGGTTATAGTTTTACCTATATAAACTTGCCATTGGATCGTTGAAAAGGAATGAATGAGAATATACACTTGTTACACTTGTTTTGAGTTTCTTATCACTTGAACCAATATACTAGTGTTCGGAGACTTAATTTAGTCGACTTTAAAATCAACCCAGTCCTTAAGACTCTTGTTAGTATAAAGGATGAAAACTATAAATGATAAATTGTTTATATTCATAATCTTATTTTTACTTTGAAGCTTAGTCATTGGATTAACAAAATTGTCTTCCTAAGCTTTTATATCTTGCCTAGCGTGCATAATTAAAAAAATAATTAAATGATAGAACTGAGAGATCAAAATTTATGTAAAATATATAAATTCTAAGATTAAAAGTGTTTTAATTTTATATTACAGTGTTGATTTTTAAAAACTGAAAGCTGACTTCTTTTAACCTGACGATGACTTCATACCTAAAATGTTGATCATAGTCGACGTGCTAAAATTTTTGGTGTTATTGATATTAAAGTTAAAAATTAGGGGCTTGAATGTTTTGAATATATTGTATGTTTCGTATAGCAAATTTATAGTAATATCCATGTTCATCGAAACAATTGAGGTTTATATTCTTGTATATATAGAGATAGGCATGGAATCCGAACCCGACAGGTTCCGATCCGACCAAACCCGATCGGGTTGAGTTTAAAAAAAACAGATTCGGGTCTGATCGGATTTTTTAAAGGTGATGTTCGGGTCAGGTTGGATTTGTGTTTAGGTTGAAAAATATCCGACCCGATCCAACCCAAAAAATATAATTTCTTTATATATTTAGGAATAACTACAATAATACCCCTCTATATATTATTTTTTGGATTAATTCACTGTTTTTTAATAAAAATAATATTTTTATTATTTAGGATCGGGTTAGATTTGAATTTTATCTCAAAAAGTCAGGTCGAGTTCGGATCGGATGAAATGTATATATTTTTTAGGTCGGGTCAGATCAGATTGGCTGAAACCCAACCCAAACCTGACCCATGCCCATCCCTGTATATATATAGCAGTGACTCTTATCCTTAATCTAGATTTACATCTACTACTGTACGAATTATTTTCGAATATTAACATCATTAAAAATGAACTCCACAAGAGTTTTAATTTCTATCTGCTTTTAGCAACTGTATATGAGAAAAATATTATAAATATTGGTATAGATTTACTTATACAGGAATTTGGGGACATAAAAAATGAAATATTCTATTTTAATTAGTTGGATGTATATTTATTAATTTTAAAATTATTTCAGCAATAGTATTATTTTATTTTATTAGATTATATTAAAATTTGGTTTAAGGGCCACTTTTACCCTTATAGTAAATTCAATTTATCAGTCCCTATCATTTTTTTTGCATCAATTTAGCCCTCAAAGTTATTTAAGGTGTTCATCCTAACCATCGAAGCCCGTTGACCATTTTGAGTAACAAAACTGTGAGTTTTCTGCATTTGTAGATTAAGAAATTATATTAAAATATTTATTAAATACAATGATTAAGGGATTATGTCAAATATTTTAGGTTTTTTCCTAATCGTCGTATTTAGTAAATATTTTAAATATTGTATTATTTATTTTTTTATAAATCTCACATCATTATATCACGTCAGTAATATTGGCCGCTCTGAAAATTATTGGTGTTGAAAAACACAAAAGACTGATTTTGTTAATCAAAACTGCCAATGGACTTTTCGAGTTAGGATAAACACCCTAAAAGACTTTGAGGAATAAATTAATGGAAAAAAACGACATAAACTAAACTGATAAATTATGTTTATTACATGAGCAAAATGACTTTTAAACCTGTTTTCACTCAATTTTTCATCATTACTGTCCCTACCATAGAGATTAGCAAATGCTAAGGGGAATACAATTTTATGATCAAAACTAAACGCAAAAATTTATATTGTGTTTAGGATAGTTTTAATAATTATGCTGTCTTATACTTTCTTGAGTGACTTTTGTGTAGAAAAATGTTATTTTTTAGGATCTCAATTTAGGCAGTTTATATTTGGTGGATGATACAGAAATATTTTTTAAAATGGACATATATGTATTAATAACAAAAAGAATTCGTATGTAACGAACACAAATAAAATTTTAAGGTAGAAACATTCAATAAAATGAACAATAAACAAAAAAAAAATTAAATTCCAAGATAGGTACTGTACATACGCCATTAACTATGTTTACAAAATATATATACATTATTAAAGAATAAAAATATTTTAATCAAATGTTACCTTATAATAATATTAAGATAATAAAAAATAATATATATTCTAAAAAAGTAAAACAACAATTGCTACTGCATTTACATTCATGATTAATGTCGC